AAGTACAATATTTTTGTAAAGTTTTCTCAAGTGATAAAAAGCACTAGGGAAGTGACTTACACATAGGCAAGTATCTAATGGGATCTAAAATTTAGGACAAGCTTGTTATATTTGGGGTTCTGATATAACCATTACACATAACTACTCACTCTATACCTCTCGGTAGTTTGAGTGACTTTGCCCTAATTGGATTTCTCAAGCCCAATTGGGTGTTCAAATAATACAAGTAAAATTGACTCAAGTCAGGTATTACTATTTCTAGGTTTAACCCTTTAATTGGGGCTATCAATCTCTTGAGTGCACCCTAATTCCTTGTTAGCCTAATTTTCCTAGACTTAGTCTCTCTTTCTCAAGAAGATCCTAAGTCATAAAGGCATGAATCAGTGTTTGCAACCACCAATTCTACAATTAAAGCATGAATCAAGCTAAATATCACTAACCCATAAACAAATAAGCCCTAAATTAGAAGACCCATTAAATACCCACACTAGGGTTAGGTCACAACCCTAGCTAATGGGTTTAGCTGCTCATAATCAAGGTAGAAATCAAATATGGAGATGAAATATAAGCCATAAAAGTTAATTACAAGAATAAAATCTAAGATTATAGGCTAAAGCTACTCTAAAATTACTCCAAATAGCAAAGTACGGTTATTCACGAGCTCCCTAATACAAAAATGACCTAAAAATATGAAAAAGATCTATTTATACATAGCTAAAATTACTGGAAAAAAAATACCCCTACGGATGTTCCGCAGTCAGCGGAATACTGAGCGCCTCAGCGTATGAATTTTTGCGGCCGCGCAAAAGCGAGCGCGGACTGTGTTTCTGCGATTTTGGACTGGGACTGGGCTTGCTTTCACTGGGAGTGTAAAAGAAACCGCCTCAGCATTGTCTTCAACCGCGGCCGCATAAAATGTTCGTGGACCGCACTCTTTATATGAGCTCAGATTTCCAGGCCTCTGAATCTCAATTCCACCCTCAGCAGAATTTGCACCGCGGCCGCTCTATTTCACTGTGGTCAGCGGTAGCTGTTTGCATCCAAAACATCTTCTCTGAACCTTAATTTTGATGTCAGCGTAATTATGGTCGCCTAAGCGGTGGACCTTCCACGACTGCCCTTTTCCTTCGCTGTTAGTGCTTTTATCTCAGCTTTGAACTTGTGCAGATTTAACTCCTTTATGAGCTGGTTATGACTTTCTTGCCTCATTTTGACCAAACCCTGCAAACAAGCATACTAAGCTAGTTTTCGGGAATACTTTTACACATTTTTTGTCCAAAACCTAAGCAAAAGAGAGCATAAGATAGGCTAGAATTCGTAGTTATCAAACATCGATCCCTTCGATGATCATGTGAATGACGTGTTGAGGTTATTCTTGATTTGTTTATTAGAGTCCCTATTTCTGAAATAATTCTTGGCTCAGTCTCTCAAGATTTCTCAAAGATACCCGTGGTTGAATAACCGGGCTACCTCCTCTATCAACTGCCAGCGATCCTCTATTTTGTGGCCGTGAGTGCCATGAAATTTGTTCATCTGGTTTGGATCCCTTTGGGCTGGGTCGGATTGTAGAGGTCGAGGCCATTTGGTATTTTGATGCGTGCGATAGCCGATACGATGGCAGCAACACCAACGTTAAAGTTATATTCCGATAACCTTGGTGCTTCTTTAGGTCCGATAGGCCTACCGAATATGTTCTTATTCATGAGTCCTCGACTGTTCTGGCCTCGGTCATTTCTCATTTTATTTTGCAAAGAACTCCCATTCGGACCCGCTGCTTCTTCGATCCTCATTATACGACTGATATCGATCCCTGTTTGTCCTTGGTTCACGGTCGATATCTCTCTTCACTCTGTGGATGGGTCTAACAGGATAAACGGACCTAAAAGAAGATTCTAGTTGATCACCTTCGACTCTGATCTTCAATTGATGTCGGTTATGCACAACAACCCAAGTGACAGCCGGATATTCTATCAGATTCAGCTTCAACTTCTGTGAAGCCACTAAACTTCGAACATTGAGTGCTTGGGTAAAAGCTTGAATGGCCCAATCATCAGCGACTGGTGGCAAGTCCATCCGTTCCATTTGAAACTGAGATACGAACTCTCTAAGCATTTCATTATCCTTCTACCTTACTTTGAAGAGGTTCGACTTCCTGGTTTCGACCATGATAGCCCCAGCGTATGCTTTCACAAAAGAGTCTGCAAGCATAGCAAATGAGTCAATATCATAGCTCGCTTTGACAAGGTTTCTCCGAATTTATTCAGCAAGACAGACTCGATCTCATCATCATCCAAGTCGTTTCCTTTGATGGAGCATGTGTATGAAGTGACATGCTCGTTTAGATCAGTCGTCCTGTTGTACTTAGGAATCTCGGGCATGCAGAATGTTTTATGGATCAACTTTGGAGCTGCACTCGGAGGGAAAGGTTTTTGTATAAAATTCTTGTAATCCAAGCCTTTCAATATCGGCGGTGCTCCCGGGATCTGGTCGACCCTGGAATTGTAGGTTTTCACCTTTTTGTCGTTCGCTTTGATTTTCTTTTCCCCTGATTCTTTTCGTTTCGTCAGTTCCTCAAGCATTTTTATGATCTCGGGGTTATTACCCGACTCGTTCCTACTCGACCTCTCCGTGAGCTGTTCCTCTTTGCGGGTAGTCTCTCAAGATGAATCAGGCTTGATTTTGCTCGGTACGTGGCTTTGGTTTTGTAACTGAGCTATTGCTGCCTGTTGAGCTTGTAACATTTCAAAGATCATCCGTAGATTGATCCCGTCTCCTCATTTGTTTTGAGTATTCTGGGTTGTCAACCGGGCTCCACCACATATGCTATTCTCGGGGTCAGTAGGGAAGCTTGTATCGATATCCATATGCGAATTAGAATCCAACAAGTCCTCAATTGGAATTCCTAGGGGATCAGCGGGCGGTACCTCATTACCGGATGATATGTTATTATTTTCACCGTGGTGACCAGACTCATTGTCAGCAAGTAAAGGTGCTAATTGTGAGTTTGACATTTTGAGCTTAAGCCTGAAATCAGAGACGCTTCAAAGAACAAGTGTAAAATAGTGTGTGTTATGGAAATTTGTATCAAATAATCACTATTATCCTTAGCCCCACGGTGGGTGCCAAACTGTTTACCCTCAAAATTGGATAGCAATAGAATTTATAAGTGGTTTTAAGGATACGTGGACTAATTTGACACAAAGCGATAAATTGAATTATAAATAAAACGAACAATAATAAAGTAAATTCAAACCGTGTGACTTGAACAATTATAGTCTTGAAATGTAAGTTTCACTTGAAGCAGATGTAATTCAAATGATATCAAATACATAAGAGCAGTGGTTTGCTGAAATGAAATAGTACTATAATGCTTTGGGATGCGAGTTACAATGTGTTTTACAAATGATCAGACCCCCTTTATATAGTAGAGGAGTCCTATTTTAGGTACAATTCTATAAAAGGTAAAAGATCTCATGATTTGCTAATTAGCGGGTTTTTCATTGATACGTGGTGAGATTCGAGCCGTGATACCCGACCGGTTGCGGATATTTTGCCTCCCGTTATTCGGTCTGACAATGTTTCCTCGAGCTCATTCGGGGTCAAGGTTGATTCCGGGACCATGGACTCGATGTTCTCGAAGACGGGCATCCTGACCTCGTATGTCGGTTCGATGGATCCCGAGGTCGATCTTCAACCCATCGCGTTTCAATCGCAATCTGTCGTGCAATAGTTGAGCCCAACTTCGACCGTATACAATCAGGATAGGAAATACCTATGCCTCCAACAACATGAAGATGGAACAGATCAGATCCTAATACAATCTTGAGGGTAATTTGTCATAGAAATGATAAAGTTGCTAATGAGTTTTTGAAGAAAACATTCCAATTAGCAAAAAATAGCTAAGTTGCTCGGAATCTTCACTTTCGGTGTCGTATCCATGTAGATACGACACGGGTGTGGGATCTGTACCGCATAAGGTCAACCAATTTTGTGTGCTTTGACCAAAATCGGCCAAGAAATTTGGCACAGATACAATGATTTCTGAAATTAAAACAAAAGCTAGGGTGAAATTGAAGAAAATGGAATAATTTATATATAGAAATTTTTGTATTAATCAATATTTTCTCCTTCTCAGAGACCTTGTATGTTTTTCGCATAATATAAATAATTTAGAGATGTTTTTGTATCTCTTTTTTTTTTAGATATTTGAATTATTTGTAGCCGAATCTCTGTACTAGTAGTTCTACCTGGATCCGTAACCTCGAATCTTAAAATTTAGATCATGAAAGATCCTCACCTACATCATGCACCCACACCCGAGTTTAAGCAACTTAGAAGAAGAGGCCATATTGAGAAAACAGGCCAACATACTTATAGAAAAAGAACCAAATGTATTGAAAAATAAACAGGAAAGGGAAAAAGGGAAGAAAAGAAGAACATTTTGCAGGGAATCTGCTATTAGGTTGATTCATTTGAAGGATTTTAAAGAAAAGATGATAAGTTAAAAGGCTGCTGGAGTACTAGAGTTACTTGAGGAAGCAGTGTACTAATTTTTCTTTCTTTTCTTCTTTATTGGACAAGGCATTATCAGTACTTTACACTTGTGGTGGAATGCTCTAATGTATAATTCTTTTGATATGTTTTGTATTACTTGTGAGATTACTATTGACCACATATTATTGTATATAGTGAAGGAATATTATTATATTAGTATATGAGTTGAAGGGGAGTCTTGGCGTAACTGGTAAAATTGCTGTCATGTGACCCGGAGGTCACGGATTCAAGCCATGGAAACAGTTTCTTGCAGAAATACAGGGTAAGACTGTGTACAATAGATCCTTGTGATCCGATCCTTTCTCGCACCCCGCACATAGCGGGAGCTTAGTACACTGTGCTGCCTTTTTTAGAAGAGCTTAAACAGACCATCATATTCAACCCATATAAAGAACCATTTCCTTTATAAATACCAGCTATGGAATTGAAAATGCTGCTCAAGAAGATACACACATTTCATACCTCGAAAGAACTAAATTTAACTGATTATCATTACAATCGTGTGAAAATCATAACAAAGAGACAGGAGAGAATGATGAAGAAAATTATTGGACTATGTAGCTACGACGATCGAATTCTCCAAAAATGCTGCAGCACTCATGTCGGATCCTCCAAAAATACATAATATTTGGAGGATCCGATATGTCTGAAGTGACATGCATTTTCGGAAGATCCGACATGCGTTGTGCCAATTTTGGAGGATCCGCGCCATCAAATATTACCTAACTATATAGTACACTACCTAACTAAATAGGTTAGTTAATATCCTACCATCAAATTTGTGTGTTGGTTGAAGCTTCTTGGCTATTAGTCACCCTATGTTTTGATCCAATCTCCAATTCTTGCCTTAGCACAGCCAATGAATCTGAGACTTCAGCTTTATACACATAAAACTTGCTCACAAACAAGAAAAAGATGAAGTTCAATAAGTTAAGTACCGCGAATAACGCATAGTAATAGTCAAGATGAGATGCATTCAAGTTGTTTAAGATCCATCCTCTGTGATTCCCATGCTTTTTAGTAATATCAGAAACTGTTGAAAGCAAGAAACTACTAATGAAATTCCCAACTCCAAGACTTGTCATAGAATAAGAAGTTCCTAAACTCTTCATTCCTTCTGGTGCTTGATCATAAAAGAACTCAATCTTAGCTACTTCCAAAAATGCATCAGCTGTTCCCATAAGAATAAACTGAGGTAGCAAAATCAATATAGATAATGGTACTTGTTTACCATTTTCAACTAGGCCATTATCCTTAGCTACACTAAGTCTATGCCTTTCGACGAACGATGCTACTAACATGATCAGAATATGGAATGCCATTCCAATTCCCATTCTTTGAAGTATATTTATACCTCTTGGATTTTTCGTCAGTCTTTTGGCGATTTTCATGAAGAAACGATCGTAGAGCACAACGGAGACTAGCAACGATATGGTAACGAATGCACCTAAACTAGCTGGAGGGATACTGAAATTACCAATGTTTCTCTTTAGGGTTGTGCCTTGTTTGACAAAAAGTGTGTTGATTTGAGCTATCATTGTGCTTGGAATGAATGTAGCTATCAAGATTGGTATCATCCTTAGCATTTGCTTAGTTTCTTCCACTTGAGTTACTGAACATAACATCCATGGATCATTTGTATCTGTTTTCACACAAGCTTTATTCAGAAACCTGCAACAAAATGTTTTACCGGATTATTACGTCATCCAAAACAAATAGCAACAACAATAATAAACCTAGTGTAATCCCACAAGTGGGGTCTGGGAGGGTAGTGTGCAGAGGCGAACATATGCTATATCGAGAGGGGTCATCAGCACCCGTAAAGTTCGGCAAAAATTCCACATATATATGTCTTTAGAAAATAGTGATATATTAGTAGATGAACCCCTATATAAAAAGCAGAATTTGGTTGAACTCAAAAGTGCACCCCGACCTTCAAATCGTGAGTCAGCTTTTGATAGTGTGTATGCATATCTTACACCTATCTTGTGAAGGTAGAGATGCCATTTCGAATACAAAAATACTCTTGGGATTCTTTTTCCTCTTCTTTTCTTTCTTATCCTATTTTAGTGTGTGTGTTTTCTTGTTATGTATGGTTTAGAGACCTATATAAACAATGGACATAAACAAAACAAGTAGTCCCTCATTCCAATTTTCATGACACTCCTTCCATTTTGAAAAGTTCTAATATTTTTGATACCATACAAATTTTACAATTGTCAAAATTTAAAATTCATTAAACTAGTCACACTTTATTATGTATTCTCTTTAATCATAATTAGTACTCCTATATTATATTAGTATATCTAATTTCTTAAACTACGTGTCCAATAAAATAGTATCACAAATGAGTACTTGTTTCTAGTAAGTGTAAGGTATGTAAAATGCTATTATCATTGAATCACACCATTTGTTTAAAAAAATTCGGAAAAACTACACAGTGGATCCTCTCTAAAAAAATAATAGCCGATAAAATGTATATTTTTTGTATATTTATATTCGTACAAAAAATATACATATATATTGGCTAGCAGATGTAATTATTTTTAGCCGACCGGCCAAATGTGTAACTTGCCCTGAAATTTCTTTACGTCCATTATTAGTTTAAGATAACTAAAAGACAAAATTAAATACAAACCTCAATGTAGGTGTGGAGTCAATTCTGACTTTTCCATTTTTGGTATATTCTCCCAAATCAAGCTCATACAACTCTTTTGGATCAGTAGGGACTGTAACTTTCCATTTCCTTAAGGCAGCTATAATGACCTTAGCCATTCTTGTAAATGGGCTTCCTCTGGGCTTTTTATGCCTATAAAAAGATGATCCAGCCAAAAATATCATTATTGATATACCAAGGCCCACTGTTGGAAGCCCATACCCAAGAGTCCAGCCCACATTGTCTTGAATATACACAAGCACAGTGTTAGCAAAGAGAGTTCCCAAGAAAATACTAAACATCCACCAATTGAAAAATGAAAGTTTTTGAGATTTTTCTTTTGGATGAAACTCGTCGAATTGATCGGCGCCGATTGTCGATATATTGGGCTTCGTGCCGCCGGTGCCGACGGCTAAGGTGTAGAGTGCACCAAAAAACACAGCTAGTTGAAGTGTGGATGCTTTCTTGCAGTTAGCTGCAGTTGGACTGGCACAAGGAGGAGGCTTTAGGCCATGGATTGATACAGCTAGTGTTAGTAGAGACATACCCTGTTACAATTTTTAATAAACGTTGGTTAATCATGGTATAAGTATATACAATACTAGTGACATACCATATATAATGATTAGCTCACGCATGGTTCAAAATTCAGTAGTATAACAACAACATATCAGCATAGTCCCACAAATGAGGTCTGGGAGGGTAGAGTATATGCAGACCTAACCTTAGCCTTTAAGAAGGCAGAGAGGCTGTTTCAGGTAGACCCTCGGCTCAGGAATGGTTCAAAACTCAATAAATATCTTAATTATCAAGTTTACAGTTCATTCTGCTAGGGTTTAACCTTAGAGCAACAGTAAAGTTGTCTCATTTTGATCTATAGGTCTCGGTTCGAGCCGTGGAAGCAGACATCAATACTTGCATTAGGATAGGTTGTTTAGATCATACCCTTGGGATCAGTGACGGAGTCAGAATTTTTATCAAGGGGTGTCAAAATATAAATAATTGGATACATCGAAAAGTCAAGGGTGTCAATGTATAGTAAATATACATAAATAAAAAAATTTATATAGCAATATAGTGTAATTTTTCGGCAAAGGGGTGTCGCTTGACACCCCTTGATTCAATGTGGCTCCGCCACTGCTTGGGTGCGACACTTCTCCGAACCATGAGAGAATGCGAGATACTCTATGCACAAGACTGTCCTTTATGATCCGATGTAGGGTTTATATTCGTGACCAGGGGTGGATTTATCTTAGGCCAAGCGGTATCATGTGACATCGCTTCGCCGGAAAATTTCACTGAATACACATATAAATAATATGCAAAAAATAACAAATTCTGTATAAATAATATAGAATTATACCACATGGTTAATTTGGACTACTTGGTCCGCTGGTTAAGCATTTAAAAGAATAAATAAATAAATTTTAAATCTTAATAAGAAACAAATTAATGTATATCATGCTTACTTTCAAGAAAATCATAGTCAAACTGTATTAGTTTGGAAAACCTACTTGCACAAGAAAACAAACTAAATAAGAAAAGAAAAAGGGTGGGTTGGGGGGCCGGGGGA